GTAATCAAAACAGTGTGGTACTGGCATAAGGATAGACATATAGAATAATGGAATAGAATTGAGAAGCCATAAGTAAACCCATACATTTATGGGCAATTGATTTTTGACAAGGGTGCCAAGGTCATTTAATGGGGAAAGCATGTTTTCAACCAATGGTTCTGGGACAACTGGATATCTACAAGCAAAAGGTGAAGTTGGACCCTTACCTCGCCCATATATGAAAATTAACTCAAAATGGATCAATAACCTATGTATAAGAGCAAAAACTGTAAAACTCTTGTAAGAAAGTATAAAGTTAAATCTTTATGACCTTTGATTTGGCAATGGATTTGTAGATATGACACCAAAGCATGAGCAATGAAATGAAAAATAGATAAATTGGATTTCATCAAAATTAAAAACCTTGTGCATCAAGGGACACTGTAAAAAAGTAAAAAGATAACCTATAGAATGGGAGAAATTATTTTCAAATCATATACTACCTGGTAAGTGTCTAGTATCCAGAAGATATTAGAATGCTTCCAACTCAAAGGGAGCCTAGGTGGCTCAGTCAGTTAAGCATCTGACTTCGGCTCAGGTCATGATCTCACAGTTTGTGAGTTCAAGCCCCACGTGGGGCTCTGTGCTGATATCTCAGAGCCTGGAGACTGCTTCAGATGCTGTGTCTCCCTCTCTCTCTGCCCCTCCCCCACTCGCACTCTGTCTCTCTCTAAAATAAACCAAAAAAAAAAAACAACAAAAAAAGAATCCTTCCAACTCAATAGCAAAAAGACCAATAATCCAATTAAAAAATGGCAAGTGATTTGAATAGACATTTCTCCAAAGCAGATATGGATATGAAAACAAGCATATTGAAAGACACTTGACATAATTCGTCGTTAAAGAACTACGGTTAAAAACCATAATGAGATACCATTCCACACCTACTAGGATGGTTATAAGGAAAATAAGTATTAGAGAGGATACAGAAAAATTGGAACCCTCACACATTGCGGGTAGCAATGTAAAATGGTCCAACCTGCTTTGGAAAACAGCTTGTTGTTTCCTCAGAAAGTTAAACATGGAATTACCACATAACCCAGAAATCCCACTTCTTTATAAACCTCAAATAATTGAAACCCCGTATGTTCAAACACATGCATGTTCATAGTAGCACTATTTACAATAGCCCAAAAGTGGAAACAACCAAAATATCCATCAACAGATGAATGGATAAACCAGGTGTGGTATATGCCTACAATGGAATATTAACCAGCTGTAAAAAGGACTGAAGTACTGATACATGCTACAGTATAGATGAACCTTGAGAACATATGCTAAGTGAAAGAAGCCAAACACAAAAGGTCACATATTGTATGATTTCATTGCTTTGAAATATCCATAATAGGTAAATCCACAGAGACAGAAAGCAGATTGGTGGTTGCCAGGGGCCAGGATGAGGGAGCAATGTGGAGTAACTATTTAATGGGCATGAAGATTTCTTCTGGGGTGATGAAAATGTTTTGGAACTAGATGGAGGTGGTGGTTGTCTAACACTGAATGTGCTGGAAGCCACTGGGTTTTACACATTAAAATAGTTAATACATAGATAGTTAATACATAAAATAAAGCATAACAGATGGGAGGTGGGGAGATGGGGGGATGGAGAAATAGGTGTGGGGGGTTAATATTACACTTATGATGAGCACTGAGTAATGATGTATAGAATTGCTGTATCACCATATTGTACACCTGAAACTAATATAACACTGTTAACTATACTGGAATTAAAATTAAAAAAATTAATAAAAAATAAGGTATTTTAAAGGGCAAAAAATAAGGTAGTTAGTATAAAATTAATAACGTGAATTTCACCTCAATTAAAAAATCTTTTATTGAGGTATAATATCCATGCAATAAAATGCACTCAATTTAAGTGGATATGTCCATGAGTGTTTACATAACACAGCCATACAATTACCACCTCAATCAAGATATGTAACATTTCCATCACCCAAAAAGTTTCCCTTGTGCCCCTTTCCAGTCACATCACCACTTGGCATGCCCAACCAGTGACTTCTTGTCTGTTTTCTCACGCCATAGATTAGTATCCCTATTTTAGAACCTCTTGCAAATACTGTGTGTCTTTACTTTTTTGGGGCCAGCTTTTTTTGCTCAGTATATTTTTGAGATTTGCCTAGTTTGTTAGTGTATCAGTAACTCATTCTTTTTTTAGTCCTGAGTAGATTTCATTGTACAACTAAGCCACAAATTTTTATCCGGTCATCCGTTGATAGACATTTGGGTTGTTTCCAAATTTTGGAAATTATGAATAAAAGCTCCTATAAATATTTTTGTACAGCTCTTTGTGTGGGCATGTTTTCATTACTCTTGGGAAAATACCTGCCAGTGGAATTGCTGGGTCATGAGGTAAATGTGTTTTAATTTTATTAAAAAAAAAAAACAAAAAAAAACAGCCAAAGAACAACCGAACCTCTTCCTGAGTGCTTGAAACATCTCCTACTCCCATCGGCTATGCATGAGAATCAGTTATTCCATATCCTCACCAAAACTTTGTATCATCATTCTTTTAAATTTGAAACCTCCTCTAAGGCAAGTTACCCCTACTTACAAGGTGTGGTCTTCTGGGATCTCTACTGAATGTTCCTCATATTCAACAAAGTCTCTGCCTTGCCTAGGCAGAACCCAAATGTCTTCTAGTCTTGTGTGAGCTCCAATAGTTTTGCTTCCCCAGTAGTTATTCTCTGCCTGGCTTCATAGAGCCTTGTCCTACTTTGGATTAATGATAAACCAAAGACTCAAGGTGACCCATATGCAGATTTATGGAGCCCTTTCTCTACACTGCTCCCTCATCTCTGGAACTCTTAACTATGATCACTGTTCCTCACTCCCATATTATTTTATTTGTGTCTCTTTAACAGGCTTAACCATTGCTCATTCTTCATTAAATTTAATTTATAATTCAACTTATGTATATAAGTTAAGTCACTAGGCTAAGCTGAGTTTTGCAAATAGCAGAAGCTTAGAGAATATTTCTGCAGTTACACTCAACTTGTTAAAGTTGTGTGGTTTGGAGGCAGAATGTGCAGAGCCTTTTCTAAGCACCATATAACCGTGGCTACACATCTCTCTCTCCCTATCTCACTCCCTGGGCCCAGAGCAGGTAAAGTACTCACACTGAGTGCTCCCATAGCATTCTGTCATAGCTCTTGTCTACCTTCCCAACTAGGCTGCAAGACTTCATTCTGAAATTAAAATTGTACTTTCTCAGAAGATAGCACCATCAATTACCCATGCTTTAATGGTGCAATTTCAAGTGAACTTGCTTGCTGCCAACATCTCTTCAGCAGAGAACAGGGAAGTTGTATGAATGAGATGTCATTGATTTGACATCTCCTATAGGACTGTGTGTCCAGTTCCTGGGAATACTGGAGCACCTTTATAGGATTGGTTTCCATTGTCTGTTTTCCATTTGCTACTCTACCATGAGTTAAGAATCTTGGATTTCAAGTTTATAAGTGAATACTCTTGCCCATAATATGCTTACATATTTTTAAAAATTTAAATACTGTATTCTTATTCAAACTATTTATCTTGGGCCTGCTACTGAACAAATGTTCTATTTGAGTTATATATTTTGAAGGTTCTAGAGAAACATCATTCTAAAACATCTTGAAATATGACAGCAAGGTTGTTGATATATTGCCCTGACTGCTTTTTTCTTGATTAAGATGTACCAACCTTTTTATTTAGTAAAAAAAAAAAATGACAATAAAGCATATGTACTTTATCTCTTTGCTATTCTATGTTGAATTCCTTTTGAATATGTTCTTTGATGAGGGAAAAATTTAAATCACCTTTGGTCAGATAGTGAATTATGCTATCCTCTCTAGTGGACAAGGAAGTGCTTCTCAGAAGAGTCTGGGAAGTATAGTTATGCAAATTGTCCATCTTATTTATAATTAGAAGTCAGGCACCAACCATATCTACTGTGCGAATAATCTCTATAAGTGAAAGCTGCTTCTAGGGAAGCTGTAAAATATTACACATGTCTAGATAAGTCATCTGTTTAGAAAATATTATAGAAAAGTACAGAATACAGTCTGTCATCAGATACATTGGAAATCTGAAACATAAGGAAGTGCATTTTGAAAATGCATTGGTATCCCATGCACCAGCACTCACTGGGAGAATGACTCAGAATTGACGTTCATGGTCTCAGATCTGTGTCCTGGGAATGTAAACTCTTAGATAGGTAGTTTCTGTCCTACTGGAAGATTTGCCAGAAGCCAGGACACTGAGGGTGATGCCCAGTTCTACTGCTGGCTTGTGACTGTCATCATTTAATCTTACTTTATAGACACAGAAACTGAGGTTCTGAGAGGTTAAGAGATTGTCTGGTTTCCCCCAGGGGACAAGTCACGGCTTAAGGTCTTTTGGATCTCAGAGTCCAAGCTTTTTTTTTTTTTTTTTTAAGCATTCCACATAAGAGTCAAATAGATCTTTACACTCATTTCCCTATCTACACTAGTGAACATGGGCATTTGTTTAAAAGTGATTTTATTTTGTAATAAAGGTGCTGGCTTAAAGTCTAACCACTGATAGAAATTTTGAAACTGTGGTCTTATTTATGTTTTAGTGACATGTCTAGTGTCTCTAATTACCTAACTTAATAAATTCCCTCATTTTGAGGCCAAGAAAGGACAGCATGTACCTAAGACGTGTATATGACTTTCCCTACAAATGGTCAAAGAAAAGGCAGAGAGAGGAGGCAGATTAATTTTTTAGCATTGCCCCTGGGTTTCCTTTAGATCTTAAATGTATTTGCTGCTTTCCATAAAAAGCAGTTAGAGAACAGTCATAGAGCCTTGACCAGAAGTGAATGACATGTGTCATTGCTGTCTACTATCAGTTTTGTGTGTAACTGGTACCAACTTGGCTCATTAAGTTTTGTCCTCTGAGTGTTTATTTGTCAACTGTCACTTTGCAGCCACCTTGGCATGGCCTACAGAAATGGAAAAGTGGATGAAACACTTTCTCCGGGCTTTCAGAGGTGCTGGATAGGTGGGGACCTGGCAAAATTCATGGGCTGCTACCTGACTAACCAACTGTCTATTGAGATAGACATTTCTCAGGATTTATCTTCAAAAGAGTGAAGGTTCTGTGTTGTACACGGAGGACTTCATGTGCAGGGTTGACAGATACAGCAAATAAAAATTCAGGATACCCAGTTAAATGTGATTTTCAAATAAACAATGATTAAATTTTTAGTATGAACATGCCTTAAATATCGCATGAATAGCCTGTATTTTATCCAGCAACTGCCTTAATATTGCAACTTGTGTACAGTGAAAAAGAGGCCAGTCTGTTTTCAGATATTCTTTCTTTTTTTAAATCTACATCCCGTTTTAATTTCTTGTCTTCATCCGGCTTTAATATTTTCTTGCCTCAAGGTAGCTGAACATGATATGTTGCCGTTAGGGGATATCTTATTCTTTTCTATACGAAGGCCGAAGAATGATCCACAGATGCTGACAGATACTCCACAATGAGAGTAATCATTAAAAATATAGTCAGTGGCCAAAGGCAAATGTCTCTGCGACAGCATTCAAATGGAAAAAAAAAATTAAAGTGGAAGATTTGTAAGCTTTAAAATTTCGTGTTAATGTATTTAAACATGTAAATGACTGTCATCTTCCTATACCACATTATAATGTTGGATAACGGTGGCCCTGGATTTTATATTCATGGGTGTCCCATCCTTATTTACCGCCCCAGATTTTTACATGAATATGGATATAAGCGTGCTCTCACAATTCATGTACTACAAGTTAAAGAATCAGAAGAAAAATGTAAGGTTGGTAATCCTTCTTTCTAATACTTCTATTTGTAATTGACATTTTCTCATTTAAAGACCAATAGAACATCTTAGAGTTATTTTCAATGGGAGAAGGCATACTTTGATAAGACATAACATTTCTCTTACTCATCGCAATGAGTCCTTGGAGAATTTTTGGATGTGGCACATTTAGATTCCATGTTATTACTTTTTATTTCAATTGGTCTGGGTGAAAAGTGAACAGAAATGACAAATCAGAAAATTTTGGTTCCTCTAGATGAGGGAGAGATTGGCAAGACAAGTCAAATACTCTTAGAGATCTCGGTCGGTGATCAACAGTACCGCTTTTTCTCTCCTGGCTACTCTAAAAACACCTCCTCCCCAAAATAAGAACTGCAAATGGCTCCAATGTGTACTGACTTGTCAGTACTGTTTCAGCTCATTTAATCCTGACACCACTCCATAGGGGAGGTACTGTTTTTATCTTCGAACCCTCAACATATATTTATTGAATAACCAACTGACTATAATTATTTTTAAATTTACTCTGATTACCATTTCTGTAAATACTGTTTAATCTGTGTGCCTCTCCATTTGTTTCCTAGGAACCAGCACAAAAGCAAAATTTGGTTTTAGCTCTGTATCAGTGAAAGTGGCCCCATTTCCCTCCTTGGCACTGATGGGACATATTTCCTACTGCCCCCTGGTGTCTATAATTGTTACAAAGGTGAGGACAGCTGCACAAATCTACACAATCAGCTCCAATCTCACTGGGTACTGTTGTGAGGAAGGCATGGGGACACCTCCCAGTGGTGTCCCTTTTATATGTGCTCTTTGCTGTCACTTATTCCTCATAGTGACCTCAACTTTACAGATGAGAAAACTGAGGTGTTCATGAACTAGACCAAGGCCATTAGATTTCTGAATCAATATTGGGGGATATCAGGAATTTATCTGACCAATTCACAGTTTAAATGTTATCATGTGAGTAATAACCTTCATGAGAAGAGGGTCTCTACTCAGTTTTGAGCCCCAAGCACCTAGCATGTAGCAGGCATTTCAATGAATAGCAGTGGAATAGAATTCATTATAAAATATGTGGACGACCCCAAGAGGGGTCAAGATGGCGGAACAGCATTGAAGTTGTTTTGCATCTTGCATCCATGAAGTACAGCCAGATCAATGCTAAACCATCCTGCACACCTAGAAAACTGATCTGAGGATTAACACAACAATCTGCACAACCTGAACCACAGAACTCAACAGGTATGAGGCGCAGAGAGGTGAACTGGGGGAGAAAGAAGCCACAGAAGGCAGGGAGCTGTTTTTGCTTGTGGAGAGAGGATAGACAGCGGGGTGGGTGGGTGGAGGGAGTAGTACGGGAAAAGCAGCCCCCCCCCAAAAAAAAAGCAGTGGAGAGAAAGTGGAAAAGTGGAAATAGCCACAGGGACTGAATTATAAAGGGAGAAAGGAGAAAGGAGAGGGTTTAAAATCCATTAAGACTCTATAAACAGGGGAGTACAGAGTCTGAAACTCAGCAGCTTGATACCTGGTGGTGCTCTGGTGAGAAGGACGAATCCTTAGGAGCAGAGTGAAGTCCAGAGGTCTTTGGGCCAGATGGGGAGAGGCAGTTCCCCTGCTGGGAGGACATCTGGTAGAGGCTGTGTGGCCACCCGGTTCCAGCAGACCCTGGAGAACAACCACATTCACTGGTGCTGGAACAAGGTCATTAAGGGGGAAGCCTGGTGCCAGACTTGTGTTGTGATTTTCCATAATCCCTGAAATGCTACTGCTACACGATCGCGTGAACTTTTCTTGTGGGCTGGCACCCAGCCGCGATCTCTGGGCATTGGCAGCAGCGTGGTCCCACCAACATTCCTGGGTACAGCCAGCACCTGGCCATTGCTCGGTGAGACCCTCCCTCAGAGGGGCACAACGGGTCAAAGCCACAGTCCCTCAGAAGCAAGGCGTCAGGAAACACAGCAGCATCTGAGGTAAAACTCAGGAGGGAGGTGCTGCCTGGGGCTTGGTCACGGAGAGTGTAAACCCAGGGAGTTGACAGAAGCCGGAGACAAAGTACTGGTGCACGATTGCTGATCCAGAACAGAGTTCTGATACTAGATACTAGGTAGCTGAGAGATGCCATTTTTACCACTCCCAGGCATGCGCATACGCACCTACAAGCGCCAAAACAATCCACCCAAGTAAGCTAAGCAGCGCCATCTAGTGGAGAATGGAGCCATTACACCAAGCCCCGCCCAACTGGGCCAACTTCGCTCTTCAGGAACACCACAAATCTCTCTGCCTGCCTAGTTTAGGGACTCTAAAGCGCTTCATAGTCTGCCTTCTAGGAGAAAACAAAGTTATTCCAATTGTATTTCAGTCTGTTTGCTGGTTCATCTGTTCAATTTTCTTTTTTTTCCCCTATTTATTTCATTTATTTTTCTTGAATACAGAAAGAGAAAAAATTTATTTTTATTTTCAATTTTTATTAAAAATATCTTTCTTTAATTTTTTCTACTTTATCTACTTCCTTATAAATTTTTCAAATTCTATTTTACTCCCATAATTTCATTTTATTCCATTTCATTGTATTAATTTTTTCAAATTTTCAAACAATTTCCTTTTTTTTTCTTTTTTTCCCTCTCTTTTTCTCTAATCTATCAAGCCCCTTTCAACACCCAGACCAAAACACACCTAGGATCTAGCATCATTTATTTGATTTCTGTGTGTGTGTTGTTTTTAATTTTTTAGTTTTAATTCTTTTTAATTTTAATTTCTTTTTACCTCACTAATTCCTTTTCTTCCTTAAAAATGATGAAATGAAGGAATTCACCACAAAAGAAAGAGCAGGAAGAAACGACAGCCAGAGACTTAATCAACACAGATACAAGCAAGATGACTGAACCAAAATTTAGAATCGTGATAATAAGAACACTAGCTGGGGTTGAAAGTAGATTAGAATCCCTCTTTGCAGAGATAAAAGATGTAAAACTAGTCAGGATGAAACAAAAAATGCTATACCTGAGCTGCAATCTCAAATGGATGCTCCGGCAGAGCAGTGCATCAGCAATATAGAGGACAAACTTATGGAGCATAATGAAGCAGAAAAAAGAGGGAGACTAAGGCAAAAGAGCCTGATTTAAGAATTAGAGAAATCAGTGACTCATTAAAAAGGAACAACATCAGAATCATAGGAGTCCCAGAAGATGAAGAGAGAGAAGAAGGGGTAGAAGGGTTATGTGAACAAATCATAGTGGAAAACTTTCCTAACCTAGGCAAAGACAAAGACATCAAAATCCAGGAAGCACAGAGGACTCCTATTGGATCAACAAAAACCGACCATCAACAAGGCATATCATAGTCAAATTAACAAAATACTCAGGCAAGTAAAGAATTATGAAAGCAGCAAGGGAAAAAAGTCCTTAACCTACAAGGGGAGACAGATAAGGTTTGCAGCAGACCTATCCATGGAAACTTGGCAGGCCAGAAAGGAGTGGCAGGATATATTCAATGTGCTGAATTGGAAAAATATGCAGCCAAGAATTCTTTATCCAGAAATCCTGTCATTCAAAATAGGAGAGATTAAAGGTTTCCCAGACAAATAAAAATTAAAGGAGTTCGTGACAACTAAACCAGCCCGGCAAGAAATTTTAAAGGGGACTCTCTGAGGGGAGAAAAGATGGGGGGAAAAAAGACCAAAGCAACAAAGACTAGAAAGGACCAGAGAACACCACCAGAAACTCCAGGACTACAGGCAACATAATGGCAATAAATTCATCTCTTTCACTACTCACTCTAAAAGTCAACAGACTAAATGTTCTAATCAAAAAACAAAGGGTAATAGAATGGATAAGAAAACAAGATACATCTATATTCTGTTTACAAGAGACCCACTTTAGACCTAAAGACACCTTCAGATGAAAGGAAGGAGATGGAGAACCACCTATCGTGTTAATGGCCAACAAAAGAAAGCCAGAGTAGCCATACTTATATCAGACAATCTAGACTTTAAAATAAAGAGGGAACAGGAGATGAAGAAGGGCATTATA